ATGCAAGTTTCTTAGGCATAAAAAAAATGATACCAGATGGAGAGTTGGATTTGCACAAAGGAAGAAAGAGAACAAGAAATGGAAAATACGCAAATAAATATAAAAGCTGAGAAGAGGGGGATCCTATTTTTAATCTCTTTAAAAGATAACTCAGCACCTAAAGCAAAAATAATGCTACATTCTGGAGCTCGTACCACATGCGAGTGTAATAGGACCATGGGCTGAGAGACTGAAGCTTCGCTTGCACGGAGCTCACACTGCAGAGCGATGAACACCATCTCATAAACTCAGACAGCGGGAAGCTAAATACGCACACAGCACCAGATAGCGCCCACTAAAAAGAAAAGAGAGAGAGCTGATTAACCAAGAGTATAGATAAAAATTAAGCTAAAATCATTAAAAACATACACTCAAATAATCCAAAAGTAGGTAAGAAAAGGAGGAGGCAAGAGATGAAATGGGACAAACAGAATGCGAACAGCAAGACGGTGCACTTAAACCCAAACCAGACTGACGATCACATAAATGCAACTGCTCTTGATACGCCAATGCCTAAAAAAATATTATCAGGTAAGAGCTTTTACAAACAAGAGACTCAACTGTATGCTGCCTACAAGAATCACATGTGACATGTAATAACAAAATAGGTAAAATGTAAAAGGGGGAAAAGCATATTCCCCAGAAATGCTAATGAAAAGAAACCTGGAGTGGTCACCTTAGTATCACGAGGAATTTGAAAATAAGAAATACTATTATGGCAAAAGGCAGCCATTTCATAAAGCCTAACGGGTTAACTCACCATGAAGACACAAAAATTCTAAATACTGGGATGTCTGGGTGGCTCAGTCAGTTAAGCATCTGACTCTTGGTTTAGGCTCGGGTCATGATCTCACGATTTGTGAGTTCAAGGCCCACTTGGGATTCTCTCTCTTTGCCCCTCCCCCATTCTCAAACTAAACGTTTTTTTTTTTTTAATTCTAAGTATGCATGTACCTGAGAACAAGTTTGAAGCAGATGAAGAGCTGAGAATCGAAGGAGAAATAAATCTCAAGCTATAGCTAATAACTTAAAGAGCAGGGAGACGGAAGACCTGAACTACAAAATCAATAAACCTGACCCAACTGACACTGGAAAGAGCACTCTTCCCAAAAACCACAGAATATACATTCTTTTCAAGTGCATACAAACATTCACCAAGACAGATCATGTTCTGGACCATAAAACAACTCTCAATAAACTTAGGGCTGAAATCATAAAAAATATGTCTTCTGATCACAAGGTAATTAAATGAAAGATCAATGACAGAGAGACATCAGAAAATTCCCCCACTATCTGGAAGTGAAACATTTCTAAATAACCCATGCATTAAAGAAGAGATCACAAAGGAAACTGGAAAACACCCTGCACTGAATGAAAATAAGACGACAATACAGCCATCTGTGGGACACAGAGCATGCTTCCTGCCTTCCAGGGAACACTTAGCACTAAGTGTTAACATGAGAAAAGACCAAGGGCTCAACTCAGTGATCTAAGCTTCCACCTTAGCAAACTAAAAACAGAAAGTAAACTAAACTGGAAGTAAGTAGAAGAAGGCAATAATAAAGATGAGAGAGGAAATCAATAAAAGACAAAAGAGAGAGAAAATCAATTATAACAAAAGTTGGTTCTCTGAAATCGACAAACCTCTAACCGGACCAATTAGAAAAAAATAAAGAGAAAGAAAACACAAATAACCAGTATCACTAATAAAAACAAGGACTGGACACTCAAAGGACAGTAGGAGAATATTAAAATAACCCTGGGCCAATAAATTCAACCAAGTTAGATGGAACGGCCAGATTCCCTGAAAAAACAAAAATTACCAAAAAAGTAACTTAGGAAGAAATAAATGACTTGAATAACTCTGTCTACTAAAGAAACTGAATGTGTAGTTTCTATCCTTCCCACAAAGAAAATCCCACATTTAAAGAATCCTAACAAGCATTTAAAGCAGCAGCGTTAATAATAGCACACATATATTCCAACAGAAAAGACCTCATCTCATGAGTCTAGGATTGCCCTAATTCCAAACCAGAAAGACATTCCAAGAATGCTTCACCTCGGTATCCCTCAGATACTCAAATCCTCAAGGTATGAAAATATTAATACATCAAGCCCAAGCGGGGATTACCCAGGAATGCAAAGTTGGTTTGACATATAAAACTCCTGCATGTAATTCACTGCATTAACAGCACAAAGGGAAAGCTGCCCTAATCTGACAAGGAGCTCCTACAAAAGTGCCCAGCGAAGATGACTCTTTATGGTGAATAACCATGATGTGAAACAAGCTGGCACCAAACTCTGGAGGGAATCCTCCTACCCTACGGCTCCACAAACCCAAGGTCAATGGGGAAAAAGCCATTCCTGTAAGAATGTCCAGATGAAGCGATCAAGCTTGTGATCTTTATTCAATCCTCAACCATTTTCAGCACTCTGGGCCTGGACGGGAAGTACGCTGGGGCAAAAGGTGGCTGTCTGCAGGAAAGCACCTGCCTGGCTGCCTGAGGCTGCCTGAGCTCTTCCCAAGAGCCGGCCCACTCTTCCAGGAAACAAAAGCTTTACTCATACAAATGAGTAACCAACTATGGTTACTCAGACTTGGGTATCTGGCCGACATTTCCTCAAAAATAGAGTGACAGTATTTGCTGCCAATGATACATGGTAAATTGAGAACTTTAAGTGATGATTACAACTCTGGGAAATTTGTATCCACCACCGTGGCTCCCAACTCTAAGGCTGCTCTAAGGAGAAAGGCAGTGAGATTAACAAGCACGGGTTTTAATACTGCATTACGAAACATGTCAACATTTGGAAGATGTGTATAAATCAGCAAACTGGTCTTTTCCAGAAGACCAGCGAATGATGTTACAAAATCATTCAAGGTGCAAGACACACCAATCAATTTTCACATAAGGGAGTACAAACAGCTCACTAAAGGGCTCAGATTCCACACAGCAAAGAACCTTCAAGGAACAAATACTTGCCGAGTTCTGATGCCGCCTCAGAGAATATCCACAATTATCTGGAAAAGCTATTAAAATGTCCCTCCCTTACCAGTTACTTGTTTGGATGAAGCCAGATTCTCTCAAGATGCTTCAACTGAAACACATCACGACCGACAGAATGCGGGAGCACACGTGAGATCTTGCTGCCTTCCACTAATCCAGTCATTTAAAAGACACGGAAGGGGGCGCCTGGGTGGCTCACTCAGTTGAGAGTCGGACTTCAGTTCCGGTGATGATCTCGCAGTTTGTGAGTTTGAGCCCTGCGACGGGCTCTGTACTAACAGCTCATAGCCTACAGCCTGCTTTGGATTCTGTGTCTCCCTCTCTCCCTCTCTGCCCCTCCCCCACTTGCACTCAGCCTCTCTCTCAAAAATAAACATTAAAAAAAATTTTAAAAGATATAGAAGTAAACCAATACCATTCATTTCATTGTTTTTTATGGAAAATAGTTACTTTTCATTTTAAAATGTGTTATTTACCATTAAAATACAATCAGTTTATTGCAGCTTAAATGAATTAATATTTTTAAGTTTCTCAATGCTAACTTCTAACGTGGTAAATACTGATATGTGACTCACAGAAGTTATCTGAGACCTCCAGTAAGTTTTCAGAGTGCAGAAAGTCTGAAACCAAACCATGTGGGGCCCACTCCAGGGCTGGACTCTACCCGGACGGACCCAACCACCCCCATCTCTACCTCCTGTAACCCAGGTGCCTTTCGGGACCTAATCCCCCATCTGCAAACAGGAGCAAGAAGAGGGAACACCTCTGTATTCCTGACATCCGGAACACAACCAGAGGAACATCATACGAAAATACCCATTTTCCTACCTTTTTAAATGATTTCTACTACCTCCACCTCTACCACCTCCTGTACAAACTTCTTCATAAAAATTTGATTAAATCTAGGAGACTTCCTTATAAAGCTCCACTAGAGAGAATATATCATTATTTCAGCTTAGAGTTGGAAACAAAAAGAAAAAAAAAAAAGAATCCTTTGGTACTGTAGCAAGTCAGTGTTTCTGAATACAATTCCATATGAAAACATTTAAAATACATTAGATTTTTGGTCAAGATGAAAGACCAAAAAAAAAAAAAAATCAAGCAATCTATTCTAATTGGGTTCCCATGGTAACTCTACAATTGGGTTTTTCAATATAACATCCCAAAGGCCCAATGCACACTTGTAAAATATACTTCAAACAGCCTGAATTGTTTTTACATTACAGCACTCCCAGGAAGATCAATTACTATACATCCCCACCCTGACTATTAGTGGCAGGACACGTTAACGCTGCTTGCCATATTAACATAAGTCATATAAGGAACACCACATATCACAATCATTGTATAAAACTAATCATACACTTCAGATTCATCAAACCCGCTCTGGGTAATAAACCCATACTACTGTTGTCACAGAATCATGTTTACCAAATGTAAGAAATCGAGCCCAACGACATGCCACACCATTATGCCTCTCTTATTGATTTCAAGGATAAACAGAATCAATCATTAATAATTACATTATAAGATGGCCCTCAAGGTTAATCATATTCTTAGAGACTCTCACTACGGAATTAAACAACAAACATCGCTGTACTAATAAATAAATAAATAAAACATAACTGAGAATTCAAATCCACATTTTAAATATTAACAGCACTATATGAAGCACAGCACACTCCCTCACCGGGGAGTCTAGCTTCTCCCACACTGACCGTGGCACTCTCTCCCTGCCAAGGGGGATTCCGGGGCACAGTGCTGGCCCGCACGGCAAGGGTACAGAGGGCCCTGGCCACAGCTCAGCAGTGGCAAGATGCATTAGGTAAAGTTTACAACTTGAGTTTTCTTGCAATAAGCATAAAAATCCCTACACATCTGATGCATTCTGCAGATCTACACCCCATAACACGAACTGCTGCTTGGACAGAAGTAAATTTAACAATCTCCTACCTTTTTATGTCCCCCATCAATGGCCACAGGTGTAACACAGGCCAATTTGATGGAAGTGCAGGCCAGCAGCTTCTAGTGAGAAGTATCTTGCTAGGTTCCCAACTTGACAGAGACCTCCAAAAATCCTGAAAGACAGCTCAGCTTGAAAAGGAGCAAGCTGCACGGTTCTTAGAATTCGAGCTGGTGTCAAACACAATGGCCACATGGTGCTCCTCAATCCAGGCAGAATTAGACACTGAACTGGTCAATGTCAAGAGAAAAATCAAACAACCAATACAAAACCCCAACCAGCAGCTCTAGACTAGCTCCCCAACCCTCCTCCTGCTTGAGAACCCCGGTTCCCCAGCACAGCACACTCCCCTCCCTACCCCTCTCTACCCCTCCCTCCCGCGCTGCAGCCTGGAGCACCTCCCAGAGCAGGCCCATCCAGTGCCACAATGTCACCAGGCCCGCCAACAGCTGCCCCGGCCTTCTGGGCATCTGTGGCCTTGCCTGCAACATCTCCCATCTGCAACCTTTGGGGTCCCTGGGAATAAGATATCAGTTTCTGTTTATCCTGTTTTCTGTCACCCCTCTGCGCACTCACAGCTTGGGGGGACGCTGGGGGCTAACCCTGCGAACCATCCTACGTTACTTCTGAGCACTGCCTGACCACAAAGTTCTCCTTCCAAAAGTCCAGCTTTCCACACAAACCCCAAATGAGCGTTGTGCTTCTGAAGTAACTGGTCTGCACTTCACCTGTGTACTGGTCAGCTCAGCAGCCACAACGGAATAGCACAGACCATGCGGCTTCCACAGAAATTTGTTTTTTTCACACTTCTGGAGGCTGTAAAGTCCAAGATGAAGGTTCTGGCCGATCTTATGTCTGGTAAGGTCTCTCTTCCTGGCTTGCAAACCGCTGCTTCATCCTCCCACCCTCCAATGGGGGTGAGGATGAGGGGAGGGGAGCAGGGAGAGATCTGTCCCTTCTTATAAGGCCACCCATCCCACTGGATGAGGGCCCCACCTTATGACCTCATTAAATCTTAATTACCTTCTGAAGGCCCCTCTCCAAACAGTCGTGTCAGGGGTTAGAGCTTCTACCTAGCAATCTTAGGACGCGCTTAACCCCTGGCTGGCCCTCCGTCAGGCAGAAGCCCACCCCAGCCTTGGAGAGCTTCTCACACAGAATTCCAGCATCAAGAGATGAAACCTACACCAGTATGGCAGACACCTGAGCGTGAGTGTGTGGGCCGAAGGAAGGAAGGGCGTCGGAACGGCTGTGTTTGGCCGGGTCAGAAGCAGAGGAGGGGAGTGGGGCCTCCTGCCCATCCACTCTTAGAGCAAAGCCCTGGTGCAGAGGCTTCTAGAGGATGCTGTCCACAAGCAGCGGGCTATAAGGGGCTTTAGGAGTCGTCTCACAGGCTCATTCCATTTAGGACCTGGGTGGCTGGGAGGGATTACCTTGGAGCATTTCTTCCCCGCCCCACCAAGAGGAGGAAGAGGCCGACCGCGCAGATTCTGGTCTTGCGCCTGAGTGTCGAGCTTCTGCTGTCCGGGGCCACTCCAAGCAGTGCCCGAGCCAGGCCCCCAGCCCCATTCCGGGTGGAGTTAGCTTCCCAGGAAGCTTCCCTGGAACCCTCAGGGATAAGGCAGGGGACCGTGTGGGGCTTGGGAGGCAAAGCAAATGAGGTCCCAGAGACCGGAGCCAGGCAGCCTCTTCGCCAGCGGTGCAGGACAGACTTGAACACCCTCCTCGCATAAACCTGGAGCCCACGTGCACTTTGTTCTGGACCCCGAGAGGCAGCCTCAAGTCTGAGGGCCGCACAGAGGGGCCAACCCTCGCTGGCCTCCCAAACACGACCGTCCAGTCCAGGTAAACTCCGGGCGGCCTGAACCCGGTCCTACTGCAGCAGCAAGCACCCCACAAGCCAAACAGATCACATACGCATGTAGCCAAGATCATCTTTTCAGCAAGTACCTGGGACTTCCTACATCAGCGCCAGGGCACAGCTGAAGCCCGACAAACGGCTGCTTCCAACATCAGGACCACGAGATGCCCCTGCTTCGGGCCGGTACAAAAGGTTTAACCCACCCAAGGGTCCGCCCCGTCTTAACTGTCCTGACCACTGCGGCAGGAAAAGAGCACCTCGGGCCCAAAGAAGGCTCCTCGGCAGGAGCCCCCGCGGCACAGGGAGGGAGGGCCACTGAGGAAATGAGAACCAGGGCGCCTGGAGGTTTTCCCGCAGTGACAAGTGGTCCGGAGACACCACAAGAACAGCAATGGCACTCTCGGTCCAGAAGGAAATGTTCTAATTACACTCAGGGCAGAAATAAACATGTTTTAAAAAAAGAAAAAGAAAAAAAACTGAGAGAAAGTTTTTAAAGCCCGTATTTTGTAGAAAAGAATCCCTAACCACTGATAACAGGCCAAGCCCCACGTGGCCTCAAGCCGGTGGGAGAGCCACCGCCAGGCCGTCACCTGGTACCCCGCCCCCCAGCTCACCCAGGACCGTGTGGGCTCAGCGGTGAAAGCGGGGGTCCCAGTACACGGCTGGGGACCCACGACAGGACACGGGTCTCCCAGAGCCCACCCTGCTGGCAGGCAGAACACCTCCACGGCCCTGACTGCAGCCAGGATGGAAAACGTTGAATATTAAGAATCTCATTCCATTTTGGAAACTATTTGTCCTGATGGTTCTTGAAACAAATTCCAAAAGCAGCGTGAGGGGACCGCCTGGCGCCCAAACTCCCCACTGACCCGGCAGGGACGGCACCCCGCCTGGGCCAGAGACGGATGGGCCTGGGTGGGTGCGAAGGCCGTGATCTGCAAACACGCCGGCAGAACGCACCGCATCCATCTGACCTGACAGCTTAATCTGACGACAAGGCATCGGTGACGGAAACAAATTCTTCTGCACAATAAAGAATAGCACACATGGGCTTTTCTTGTGATGGCTACCTAAACTCACTAACTTCTGAAAATACATCATTTCTTTTCTTTGTTCATTATTCCAGAAACTTCCACCTGAGTGAGACAAGCCTTACTAAGGAGAGGGGCTGCGAACGCACAGCAGGAAGCAGGACTCAGCCCCACACCCTCCTGTTCGGCCGCTACTGATGTCCTTTCTCAACTCAGTTCCCCGAGGCTTGGAAAAGCCGTTTCAGGGGCGCCTGGGTGGCTTAGTCGGTTAAGCGTCCGACTTTCACTTAGGTCATGATCTCGCGGTTCGTGGGTTCGAGCCCCGCGTCGGGCTCTGTGCTGACTGCCAGCTCAGAGCCTGGAGCCTGTTTCAGTCTGTGACTCCCTCTCTCTCTGACCCTCCCTTGTTCACGGTGTCTCTCTCTCTCTGTCTCTCCTAGAAATAAATAAAAAATATTT